CCCTTGTGTGGTCTAGCGGAATTCTGGGGAGAGCCAATAAGCATCCCCCTTTGAGGTCTGATTGAAGCCTAGAAGCTGACCATCCCAAAGAAACCAATATCCTCTCAGGAAAGAGGCTGAGAAATTCACTCTGGCCAAGCCCATCACCGTCCCCATCAAGTCGTCTCCCTGCTGCAAAAGAAGGGAAGCCTATGGCTCACAAGATGGATAGGCAATACCAGGTTATTTTACTGGACAATCCAAATATTACCCTATAAATTATAGGTCAACTAAACCTGCCATCCTCCTTCCTGACAACTGGAAGGCTGAACCATGATTGTATAGAAATCATTGACCAAGTATCTTCCAGCCAACCTCATCTGTTTAACTGTATCTGGTGGACTAGATGTTGTTCATGGACAGAAATAGCTACAGGGAAAAGGAACTCGAATAGCAGGTTATGTGATCGATCGTGTAATCTCACAAGGACCAGGTGAAGGCAATAACCCTCCTGCTGGGGATCTCAGCTAAAAAAGCTGAAGTGATTGCACTGAAGAGAGCATTAGAAATGTTGGTAAGAAAGTCTGTAAATGTGTACCCAGAGGGCTTAAGTAGAACTGACGCAGAAGGATTTGAGAGAGGGGTTAAAGGATGAAAAGTAAATGACGATGGAATTGTTCTGGTTCTGAAAAGTTAAAAACTAGAAAGTAAATGGCAATAAAATGGTTCTGATCCTGTGAAAACTAGCCCCTGCTCTTCTTAAAGGAGTTCATAAAATGACCCACTACAAGAAAGAGGCCCAGGCCCAGGCTCCAGGACAAGAAATTAAAAAAAAAAAAAAAAAAATTCAGGATATTAGCTCTGTTTTATCTGCTTCAAGAACAATCCCAAGACAGGCTGTCCTACACCAATATCAAGGTAAACAACCCCTTGAAAATTAACAGGTTGATTTCATGCAAATGCCCCCAAGCAGGGGAATTAAATATTTGCTGGTTTTGTTTTTTACAGATATCTTTTCTTATTGGGCAGACGTTTTCCCCCACCAGAACTAAGAACTTCAGAAATAGTGAAAATCCTCTTGAAGGAGAGTATCTCCAAGTTTGGACTTCCAAAAAAAGTGTCCAAAGTGACAACGGAGCAGCAAACATCTACATTCAACATGGAGGTTTGAGAGAATGAACCATACTCCAAAGAAACAAATGGCAAACTGTCAAGAAATTCATCTACATTGGGACCAGGTGTTGCCTTAGCCCTGCTTCAAATTCAGGTAGCCCCCAGAAGCAGGCTTAAATTAAGCCCTTATAAAATAGTGTATAGTAAACCTTCCCAGGCAGATTCCCTCAACTCTCTGCCTGACCTCAGCCAAGGTTTAAAGGTGCGGTGGGATGTACAACACCTCCAACACATACTTTCTATTATTTGTAAAATTGCTCTTCCCAGGTCTGCTTCCTTCCCTACAGGTAACTGGACCCCTTCCAGCCTGGAGATCATGTTCTACTCAAAATGTGGAGAGACGGATCTGAAAACCAATTAGAAAAAAAAGTGGACTGGACCCTGGGAAGTCCTAGTCACCCCATCAGCTATCAAGTTAACTTGAACATACCATACCAGAATCACATCTTACCTGTCAGTCGACAGGACCACCTGGACATCAGAAGCAACTGGAGAAATCCAACTAAAGATAAGAAGATGCCTCTTAAAATAATGTATCTCCTGCTCTTTACTATGGGACTCTCACAAGACATTATTCCTTTCAACGGGATGAAAACAGAGTGTAATAAATGTATCCAATTTTTTTCTTTAGGGAGGGCATCCAGAAACATCTGCAAAAATTACTGAGAACTGGAACAAGGAATTATCCCAAGCCCAGGTGAACTGGTGTGGGTAAGAAACTGGAATTTGACCCCACTGAAACCCAAGTGATGAAGACAGCTGACTGTCATCCTGACCACCCCCACAGCAGCCAAGGTAAAAGGAGTCCCCACCTAGAGTCACCACAGCAGACTGAAGAAAGCCTCGTCTTCATGGGAAGCTTGAAACTGGCCCCACCAAACTTTTCAAGGTAATATTGAAACGTACGACCCACCCCGCTTCTTCCACAAACCAGGAGCTGGCTGATGTACGCACGGCCGAAACATGAGGACGTCCGCCGTGGGACTCATCTTAATTGGACTTTGGGGTGTGGGAGAAGAAGAAAATCTGTGTAATCTATGCACCCACACTCCCAAGGTGGGCCAAATAGTGACCACCACACTACTCTTCTACAGTTACTATAACTGTGAGGGCACCCTCCTAGCTAACTGAACCTATAACCGATGAAACTGGGAAAGCCTTAACCCTGTTAGCTCAGCAACAAACTTAACTCAGAAATGCTGTTTATCAAAACAGACTAGCCCTAGACTATTTATTAGCTCAAGAGTGTGAAAAATTTAATCTGACAAACTGTTGCTTACAGATAGATGATCAAGGATGAGCCATTGAGGACATTGTGAAAAAGATCCAAAAACTAGCTCATGTTCCTGTGCGAACTTGGCATGGATGGAGTCCAGAATCATTATGGGCAGGCGGGTTCTCAGCATTGGAGGATTCAAAACTCTGGCGAGAGGATTTCTGATCATCATAGGGGGATGTCTGCTCATTCCATGCCTCCTTCTACTGGCTATAAAAACAATGAAAACCATAGTTGAAGCTAGGGTACAAAAGAAAACTACTTCCTACATACTCTGATAACATACCTATCAGCCTGTGCCTGTGCCCACTGACCTAAAAAGTATCCTCCAGGCCCATTAGTTTGCTATCTAGCTACATGGGTCTCAAAGGGGGAATGAGGCAGGCAGGCCTGTGGAAATAGGTGCTGCCCCTACATCCCCCAGGCACATAGCTCATTCCTGGAGCAAAATTCACATTCCAGGAAATAAGCAACAGACCACCTCAGCCTCATGTGATTACCCAGGCTAATCTCCTGTTCCTGACCCACCCCTGGGAAGGAACAGAACCCCAAGCAAATGTTCACCCGCTTCCGCTTCTGTAACTGCTAGCTTGTATGCTCATACATCCTTCCCTGCCATATGTTTGAACCAGAGAAAAAGAGGACGACCCCCAAGGAGATAGATTGGCAAAATGGCAGCATCAATGGGCTCAAGCATGGCAAAAATTATGAGGTTGTTCCAGGACTGGCCAGTGTTTTGTTGTGTTGTGTGTAGGGTCACGATGAATTGGTACCAGCTCGATGGCACCTAACAACAAGGACTTTCAGAAACTCCTTCATTAGTCTGCTTTTTCAAACTGTGCTAATCCCTCAGGGGACCTTCAGGAACTTCTTTATTCCTATAATAGCCCTAGGGTGGGTGTTAATACTGATTGTTGTTATTGTTAAGTGCTGTTGAGCCTTGGAGTCAGTTCCCACCCATAGCGACCTGTATAGAGTTCCCAAGGAGCAGCTGCTGAGCTTGAACCACTGACCTTGCAGTTCAAACAGCTTGCAGCTTGGCACATTAACCCACAGCACCAGATCAGGACTCCAAATACTGATTAGTTTGAAGGAAAGTATATCAAGATTAGCATTAATGACCTCTCCCCCTACAAAATGGAGTTGCTTTAGCCAGTTGCAACTTTAAAATAATTTAACCAATGTATCTCTCTGGTAGAGTAGTGGTTATGAATTGGGCTGCTAATCTCACGGTTAGCAGTTCAAAACTACTGGCTGTCCTGCGGGAGAAAGATGAGGTTTTCTGTTCCTGTAAAGATTTACAGCCTCGGAAACCCTGTACAGGGTCGCTATGAGTCGAAACAACTCCACGGCACATAACAACAATCATTCATGTCACATTATAATTAATATCACCTCACTCTTAATGATCTTATGATTGTGGCCTCATATTTTGAAACTTTACTTCCTGGATACAGTTCTCACTATTTATAAAGTAATATAAAGCAAAGCCATTCACGTCCCTAGTTCCAACCTACCTTTATACACTTTCATTTATGCTTTAAACTGCAGCATTATTTAACATAAGGAGCTCTGGTAGCTCAGTGGTTACGAAATGGGCTGGGATTCTTAAGGTCAGGAGTTCGAAACCACCACTGTTCTGCCGGAGAAAGATGAGGCTTTCTGCTCCCGTAAAGATTTACAGCCTCAGAAACCCTGTACAAGGTCACTATGAGTCAGAACCGACTCCACGGCACATAACAACAACAACATGTTTCATACTAAATTAAGTTTCTTGAGGATAGCTTCAATAACTTATATTTTAATTTCCACCATATGTGTCAAATCATGGTCTTCAATAAGTGGTGTTCAGGGAACTAAACTGGATTGATGGTTGGGTTTTAGAAAAGAGTTTCAAATTATGACATCTTGATAACACCTCCGTAGCTTAGCTGGGATCCAGGTTGACAGAGGTGGCAGCAAGAGTGCCACTTGGGGTGCAATGAGGTCATAAAACTGAGGTCAAGGTTAGGTCATCAACAAAAACAAGTGCTGGCAGTACTGAACAGCAGGTCTCCAGGATCTGGTTATTTCAATGTGTGTTGGAGTAGGTATTTGGCGCAGGTTCCCACTTTCGTCTTCCTGCAGGAAGGGCTTACATACTATTAGAGCCTCCTCACAGCTTCAACTGCCTGTACACTTTGATTTCCAGTTCTTTTCATTCGAGAGCTTCCCCACTCCCACCCCAACCTCCACAGAATTCGACTGCTGAAGGATAGGCTGCTGTGGGCACCCAGAGGATCACAGCTGGGGGACCACACAGTGGAGACAGCACACCACCCACAGAACTTGATGTGTGAGGCCCTGCCCCACCATGGACATCTTGTGACCTAGGGAGGTGACTTGGATTTCTTCTGAAACAAGGTTTAGACTATGAGATCAAAGCGGCAGCTTATCTTAGTTCTATCAAGGATCCGCCTTAAAGTCTAGCTCGCTCCCAAAACTATCCCTTAGGAGGCTCCACTCCACCCTCCCAGCCACTGCCGACCACAGTGGGGCGGGCTTTACGTCCGGAAGCGGAGCTCCCACCGCAATGGTTTCTCGTGGGGTCGTTGGTATTGCCCTTCTTTCTGCTATTCCCATCTTGTGCCTGGAGCTCCGGCGTGGGATTCCAGATCTCGGTAAGTGTTGATTTCACCCCCTTTCGAGCTCCCATTTGTGTAGTTTAACCGTGTAAATTGCGTAGAATTAACGTCTGCCTGGCCGCTTTGCCTGAGCGATGCAGACTACAGTTCCCAGACCGCATTGCGCCCACCTCCCTCTTCCTACCCCGGCCACGCGGTGTACCTAGCGTCCCACAAATCCTTGTCTTTGCTGCTGTCGGGGATTTTTTTCCCTCCGGTATTAGCTGTACTCATAGTCGAATGCCCTCTCTAGGCTAGGCACCTCATTAGCTACCCGGGACACATGTTATAAGCTCTGGAGGAAGTTTCCTTTATTGGAATTGGTATTGGTGGAGGTTTGTGCTGTGGAATCGATTGCCACTCAGTGACCCAGATTGCGGTTTCTGAGGCTGTATGTCTTTGCGGGAGCAGAAAGCTTCGTCTTTCTCCCTCCAATCGGATTCGTTAGCAGCCCAATGGGTAACCCCAAACAGGCCACCAGAGCTCCTCATGGACGTACAGAGAGGCAAAAAGCCCACATACAAATACAGATAGGATACTTTGAGATTGTAATGAGTTGTTGTTAGGTGCCATCGAGTTGGTACTTAACTCATAGAAACCCTATGCATATAATGAGTACTCTTAGGGAAATTAACCAGGATGCTGGTGTGGCGCTGTAGTATAAGCACTGGACTGCGAACCACAAGGTCAGCGGTTGAAACCCACTAGCTGCTCCTAGAAAACACTGTACAACGTCACTATGAGTTGGAATTGACGCAACAATTAATAAAAAAATAAATAAAAGCAGAATTTAGCGTGATGCTCGAAAAAACCTGAGAAATTAACCTTTGTGCTGAGATTGACTGGTATAAGAAGCCACTCATGTGAAAAGCCAGGGGAGTATTCTAGGCAAAGGAAATTATGACATGTTATAGGGTCCGACTCCATGGTACTTAATAACAACAACAAACATAGGATCAGAATCAACTATGAGTCAAAATCAACTGGATGGCAACAGGTTTTGGAGGAAAAAATGAAGGTCATGTGGCTGGATCAAGGAGAACAAGGGGGGAGTGACTTAAGATAACATTAAGTGCATATTCACTAAGTGCTTATTCATAGCTTATCTATTAACACGTTTTATTTACACTGCTATCCAGCCTATTCCACTCATAGGGACCTTTTAGAAAAGTAGAACTGCTACATAAGGTTTCTAAGACTCCATTCTTTAACAGGAGCATGTTGTTGTTGTTACGTGCCATTGAGTCGGTACCAGCCCATAGTGACCTTATGCACAGCACAACAAAACACTGCCCGATCCTGGGCCAACCTCACTACTGTTGCCTCGCTTGAGTCCATCGATGCTGCCACTTAGCCAATCCATCTCCTTAGGGGCCTTCCTCTTTTTCTCTGACACTCCACCTTACCAAGCATCATATCCTTCTCCAGTGACTGGTCCCTCCTGACAATATGTCCAAGGTATGAGAGATGAAGTTTGGCCATCTTGGCCTCCAAGGAGCACTCTGGCTGCACTTCTTCCAAACTAGATCTATTGGTTCTTTTGGCAGCCCATGGCACCTTCAATACTCTCCTCCAACACCATAACTCAAAGGCATCAATTCTTCTACCGTCTTCCTTATTCACTGTCCAGCTTTCGCATGCATATGAGGTTATTGAAAATACTATGGCTTGGGTCAGGTGCACCTTAGTCCTCAAGCTGACATCTCTGTTCTTCAACACTTTAAAAAGGTCTTGTGCAGCAGATTTGCCTAATGCAACACATCATTTGATTTCTTGACTGCTGCTTCCATGTGTGCTGATAGTTGATCCAAGAAGAATGAAGTCCTTGACAACTTCAATCTTTTCTCTGTTGATAAGAATGTTATTTATTGGTCCAGTGGTGAGAATTTTTGTTTTCATTACATTGAGATGTAATCCGTACTAAGGGCTGTGCTCTTTGATCTTCATCAGTAAATATTTTAAGTCCTCTTTACTTTCAGCAAGCAAGGTTGTATCATCTGCATATTGCAGGTTGTTAATGAGTCTTCCTTCAATCCTGATGCCACATTTTTCTTCATATAACCCACCTTCTCGGATTAACTGCTCGGCATACAGGTTAAATAAGTATGGTGAAAGAATACAACCTTGTCGCACACCTTTTTTAATTTAAAAAAAAGTTATGAGTTGGGCTGCTAACCTCAAGGTCAGTAGCCCTGAACTACCAGCTGCTCCTCAGGAGAAAGATCAAGCTTTCTGCTTCAGTAAAGATTTACAGCCTCGGAAACCCTATGCAGGGTTGCTATGAGTGGGAACTGACTCCACTACCACCACTACCAAATATTCAGTATCAACAAACCAAAGGAAACTACTGGGTTCTCAAAATATTCATTGGAGCCCTGGTGTGACACTGTGGGTTAATGCCCTGGACTACCGAGTCAGTGTGAATTGCAAGATTGGCGGTTCAAGCTCACCAGCCACTCCTTGGAAACCCTATACAGGGTTGCTATGGGTCAGAACTGATGCGACAGCACTTAACAACAACAACAGTAGAGGCTAAGCTAGTTATGTGTGGAACAGTTCTTACAGATACTAAGACTGTAAGCAAGTACCCCTAATTAAATTCCCAGATGAACCCTGAGAACTGTCCATTATCCCAAGCTATATATGGAGTCCTGGTGTGGCACTGTGGGCTAATGCATCAGACTGCAGTCATTTGAACTGCAAGGTCGGTGGTTCAAGCTCACCAGCTGCTCCTTGGAAACCCTATACAGGGTCGCTATGGGTCGGAATCGACTCGACGGCACTTAACAACATATATATATTAATGTTTTATTGTGAATTATGTGATAGTTTACATGGGAGAACATTAGTTTTATATTCATCCTATCATATATTGTTTCATTGCCATGGTTACAATCCTCTCCATGCATCATCAACCCAACCAAAGGGGATACACTTACAAGTCTGCCCCCCCAAATCGTCAGCACACAGCCCCTCTCCCTCTCTGTGTCTAAAGTCCCCAGCTACTCCCATCTCTCCACGTCATTGTCTCTGCTGCCATCTTTGGCATCACTGCTTCTCTGGGTAGGGTCCCGCTCTCCATTCTTCTCCCGTGATGGTCCCAGGGACCTCCGCTCCTAGACTGCAAAGTCAATCCTCCCTTCCTTTAGCTACAAAACATGTACCTTTACATTTCCAACCCTCACTATCAGTCCTGATTACAATTATACACTATTGTGTCACAAGAAACCTATCCACATTTCCTTTCATCAGCCCCGCTTAGGCAGATTGGATACTTCTCAGTGGAGATTCTACCTTCCTCCACGCCCTTTGGATCTAGGTTCTCTCTTGAAAGCTTATAAGCCAATCACTTCTTGCCTTTGTAGCCCCACCCCCACCCCTATTTTGGGTAGCCAATGTCCAAGTTGCCCATCCCTGCCCTATCCATGTGTGGAGGGGGTGGTAATGATTCTTGCTGTAAAGATTTGTTCCCTCTTTTGATCTACTGCTTCCATAGGTGTAGGTCAAGTTCATCAAAATGTATCAGATTACTCTTTTTTTCCTCTTCTTTCTTCTTCTGGTTGAGAACTCTGATCATCCAGTCATTGAAGCCAGGTCAACTGGGTATTATCTGCAAGTGTGGGTGTTCTTGTGCATATGCCCTCTCTTCTTATCAGCTGGACGCTTCACTCTCCACTCTAGTCCTCTGTGGCTATGTCACTGAATCTGGGCCCAAGAGACCCCAGGTCTTGCCACACTGCTGGCCAACCAGGTCTCCACCCGGGTTCACAAAAGTCTATTGAACGTTGTAGCGCTTAGCTTATCCCAAGCTATATTTTATGAGATAATGTTGAAAAATGACCCCTATCTTTTTCTACTATACCCTTACATTTGCTATTTTTTGAAGTGCTCTCTTTATGTACTTGAGAATAGGTACAAAATGCTGTTGCTAAGTGCCGTAGAGTTGGTTCTGACTCATAGCAACCCTACATAAGATTTCTGAGGAGCGGCTGGTGAGTTTGAACCACTGACCTTGTAGTTCAAACCAATCTTGAAGTCAAGTGTTTATCCTACAGTGCTACACCAATAGCCCAGGTATAAAATAAACAGACTTAATTTTTTCCAGGGAGGAATGCATTTCATGGAATAATTAACCAATGAGACTAAAAGGGCAGCATTTGTCCATAGATAAAGCTCTCAGAAGGCTGGAAAGGAGAACAAATGAAATGGGAAACACAGGGAGGAAGGGGGAAGCGTGCTATTACATTGTGGGACTGCTATCGTATTTGAGGGACAGTTTTGTTGGATGTATGATTCTTGGTTGGCAATCTTTTTATTTCAGAGTTTTGTATATGTTATCCCATTGCCTACTTGCCTACATGGTTTCTGCTGAGAAATCAGAGCTTTGTCTTATTGCTTCTCCTTTATAGGTACCATTTCATTTTCCCTGAGTTGCTTTAAGGATTTTCTCCATGTCTTTGGTTTTGGAAAGTTTGATTATGATATGTCTTGGTGATTTTCTTTTGGGATGTCTCTTGTTTGGGGTTTGCTTCGCTTCTTGTATGGTTATCATCTTTCATGGTGTTAGGGAGGTTTTGTTCCAACAACTCTTCGACAGTTTTCTTTATGCTTGTTTCTTTATGTTCTGGAATTCTGATTACCCATAAATTGTTTCTTTTCATGGTGTCCCACATAAAACTCTTAGGCTTTCTCTGGATTTTTCATTGTTTTTTTCTGACCATTCTTCTAGCCTGCTAATTTTCAGAGAATTCCCTTCAAGCTTATTAATTTGGGCTCCAATTGCTTCACATCATCTCCTTTGCCCTTTCAATGTATTATACATTTCTGAGATCTTAGTATTAATCTTCTGTATTTCTAATTGCAGGTTTTGTATTGTTTCAAATTTTGCCTTTCTTGACCTACGCCTATGGAAGCAGTAATTCAAAAGAGGGAACAAGTCCTTACAGCAACAATCATTCCCACCCCCTCCACACACAGAGTAGACAGTAATGGGCAACTTGGACATTGGCTACCCAAAATAGGGGGCGGGGGGCTACAAAGGCAAGAAGTGACTGGCTTAGAAGCTTTCAAGAGGGAACCTAGACTCAGAGGGCCTGGAGGAAGGTAGAACCTCCAGTGAGTAGTATTCAATTTGACTAGGCCGGTCTGATGCAATGAAATGCAGATGGTCTCTCATGATACAATGGTGAATAATTGTTATCAGGACTGATTGTGAGGGTCGGAAATGTAAAGGTAGACGTTTTATAGCAAGGAGGGGAGTGATTAACTTTTCAGTCTAGGAGCAGAGGTCCCTAGGACCATCAAGGGAGAAGAGCAGA